CCAAAAGCCGGACCTGTCCGGGAAAATCCGGACGTATGGTAACCCTAGTTAAATGTCTTAAGGAGCTACTTGTAATGAGTCATTTCTGAGCCTGATGAGCCTGAGCCTCATACATGTTCCTGATCCTGATTACCTGAGGGTTCCATGTCAATCAACCAGGGCTAAGCCAATCCACAGCCAAAGGTCTAACCAGATGACCCCAACACTGGGGATATAAGCAATCAATGAGAGCAGTTACTCCTGTCTGCTCAATGTTGCTACGTTGCTGGGAGTATCCCCCACCACTTGGTGGTTCTGACAGACTGCTCTTGTTCCTGCTCCTGTTCCAGCCTGTGTCCGCTCCTGCTCCTGTTCCACCACCAGCCTGTACCTACTCCTGCTCCTGCCTTGCTTGTGCTCTCACCCCTGGCTGCCTGATCACTACTGCTTTGACCATTAGACCTGACTGCCACTGCTTCAACCACTCGGCCTGACCATTCACTTCTGAGTTTCTGATAGTTTGAGCAGTCTGCCCAGCTCCAGCAGCTGGGATGGAGACCCCTGGAATGTCCATCACTGAGATGACAGAGTTGGTCCCAGAGCTTTTGGGGTCAAGTTGCCCAGTTGCATCTGAAGAATGCTTCCCTCTGTTCACAGATCTCAGCAGCCATGGTAACCCCAGTCCTGCTAGCCATGCTGACTTTAAAACACGGCCTGAAGGTTCCATAGCAAGAAAGATTTGATGGGAACCACCAGAAAGTCTGTTGTGTTCATAACCACTGCCGCCTTTTGTTCCTGAAGAGTCCTGCGATGTATCCTGATGGTTGGGCCAAGATGGGACTTATTATCAGTTTATTGATCAATGAATCACTGGATTGGGCCTTCCTGCTCCTGGAATGGCCACCCCAATCCTCAGTAACTTTGACAAGTTTATCCATGCCTTCTCCATACTATTTGATGATCAGAATCACTCCTATACCACCGAAGCTGCCCTAGCATTTCTCCATTAGGACTATTGGTCCATCTTGGCCTGTGCTGCCCATTTTCAGTGTCTGATTGTCAATACAGAGTGGAAAGAGGTGGCACAGTTATACCATTTCTGCCAGGGTCTGAATGACAATGTGAAAGATGTACTGGCAGAGTTTGAACCTCCCGCTAGTTTGCACTTGTCTATAGAACTGTGCCTCCGAACTGACAGTTGTTTGTTCAAACGTCACCAAGAAAAGAAGAAGTCATACCCATGACTCCTGTTTCAGTCCAGCCATTGCCTCAAGCTGTCCCAGAGCCAGACCCTATGCAGATTTATTTGACGCAAAGACTCCTCACAGATCAGGAGAAGGAGTATCAGTGGCAGAATAGTCTTTGCCACTATTGTGGGGGGCAGGGCCACTTTGCCACTGAGTGCCCCCTTAAATCCAGACCTCCAGCATACACAAATATGGTTGTGTCCAGTCCCATTAGATGGTTTATAGCTGGACATAACCTCAGAGTCGAGTCTTCAACCAGGTCTGCTCTTCTGCCCATATGCATCTTGGCAGCCACGAACTGTCATCCTCTGCACCCACAGTTCTTTCTCAATCTCTGGGTCCCAGCTACAACTAAGGTGAATTGCACCCAGCTTGTGCTAGTGAATCCTGGTGCCTTTAGCAATTTCATGTATCCTGGATTCTCTAAGACTAATCAACTGCTGGTACAAAGAAAGCCCAACCCAGATCTAGTGGAAACAATTGACAGTAGCATGTTTTGTCCTCTGGTCCAGTTACCCAAGAAAACGCCCGCGCCGCGGCCACTCGGAGTCTCCCCCTCCCTCCCAGGCTCTCAAACCTGGGAGGGAGGGGGCGATCCCGAGGGGCCGCGGCGCGCGAAACAGTTGTTTCGCGCGCCGCTGCTCCCCCTCCCTTCCAGGCTTGAGAGCCTGGGAGGGAGGGGGAGACTCCAAGAGGCTGCAGCACGGGCGCCGCTTCTCCCCCCCCCTCCCTCCTAGGCTTGAGAGCCTGGGGGGAGGAGGCAGGGCTGGGGATTTGGGGAAGGGGCGGAGTTGAGGTGGGGCCGGGGGTGGGGTAATTAAAAAACGGGGGGGGGGGGCAAAATTGTTTTTGCTGTGGGCGGCAAAAATCCTAGAGCTGGCCCTGGGAGCTGGTCAGCCTGCATGAGGAGGATGAAATATCTATATAGCACTACAAAAGCTTGCATGGTGCTTTCCAGAAATAAAGTCACTATTCATGTCCCAAAGATCTTACAATGAACAGAGGAAATGACAACAGACAAAGAAGAACAAATGAAGGAATGGGGTGGGGGGGAAGTACCAACAAACAAGGTATGAAATGTTTTGAATGAGTGAACACATTTTTACACTGGAGAACAAGGCAAGGCAAAGGAGGAGAAATGGATAGCACTGAAGTGGAGGTCAGATAATTGAAAGAAATGTGTTTTTTAAAGGAAAGATTTGAAGGTTGAAGGGCTGATTCTCTGTTCTGCCCTGTCCCCCTTTACACTTCTCGGGTGGCATTAAGGGAGCAGAAACTGGCATAAGAGGGTTGCCTGGCTTGAGTAGACCTGCTAGAATATCTCTGTGCTGGTACCTCCACAAGCCAAGTGTGTGTTGGGGGTGTGGAGTGGGGCATGCTGGGGACTGACTGGAGCATGTTGTTCTCAGGCTATTTACAGACAACACACAGACTGTCAGGCCATTGCAATTGCAGTAAGCGTGTAAGTGAGAGGTCAGCGCCTTTGCAATGAAAGGGAATTATATAGTTGTATTCATTCTGGACAAATCTCTTCCAGTATTATCTCTCTTAGATAAGTTATTGTTGTCCTCTGGGTTTCCCAATGTACTTTTGTCTTCTTTCTGCCCATCTTTTGGACTGTAACCTACTTAAGGAAGGGACTGTCTCTCTATTTGTAAATGTTTGTAAACTGTTGAAACTTCACAAATAAAAAGTAATAACAAAAGTGAGGCAAGTTTTGTTTTAAAATAAAGTAGGCCCATCTTGAAATTAGTCTAAAAAAATTCAAACAGTTATTCCTATCTTATTTTTTCACTTGTTAAGGGCTGACAACATGTTCGGCACTACACAAGATACATAATATAAAAAATCTCTCCCCTGAAGAACTTACAATCTGTCGTAGGATCAAAATTTAACACAATGCTGTGGGGAGTGGAGAGCCAAAGGTAATGTTCTCTGAATGAGAACTTATACACTGTGTTTATGCTAAGCACAAATATTTGTCCCATAAAAAAATCAGATTTATGTAGGAATGCTGATTGGAGCTTATATAGTGTTGCATAAAAGGCTCTAACAGCAATTAATAAAAGATAATGTAAAATTGAAGATTAAAAAAAAATCCCTAACAAAATGAGGTAGCTCTCAATAATAAGTGTTTCTGTTATTTAAAAATAGGGAGCTTTATTTAAAAATGAATAACTGATTGTCTATAGGGACAAATGACACTTGGTGGAATTGAAGTACATCACCAGTTGCCAGGCAACTACTGTAAACAGCTTGGGGGTGGGCCTTTGAGATCCAAAGAAACTGAGATTTAGCATGCAAGGAATAGCTGATTGTGCCTGTTTGTACAAGACCAAGACTGTAGGAGCCATTCTATAAGGTAAATACAAAGTCTTTCCTGCCTTTCTAGGTGGTGATTTTTGTTTTTTGCTAGCTTCAGTAGAGTTCATATAGAATATCAGTGGAATCAGACAGCATATGAGTCAAACAGCAAGTGCTGACTGATAGGGAAATAAATCAGGTGGGGTATGATGGTTCGTGGAATTGGTTATGCACTGAGTGTTTCATCTCAATGTTTCTGGTTCGAATCCCACTGAGAGTAGTAGTGAACAAAAGTTGTTGTTACCACTGGGTGGATGAAGTGGACTGTATGAAATTAATTTGAAGGACAGAGATCCTATTGGACAACTGTCTGTTACAAAACCACCTTTCTAAATGGAAGCATAGGCAGAAAGGCTGACGGAGTGGGGATACTTAGCAGTCCCTTCAGGTTTGGGTGAGGCATCCTGATGGGGTGGGAAAGCTTCCATGACTCCCACCTGTTCTGTGGACAAAGGGAGCCCTTCATTTTCCAAGGCTATCAATTCAGCATCTTTGCAAGCAGGAACAACTCCCTATAAAAGGTCTAAAAAAGACAAAAGATATGTCTGTGTGACTCTTACAGCATGGAAGAGCAGTGTTGATTGAGGGGTGGGGTGGGAGGAAGGGCAATAAAATATGGTAGGACTGAATGAATAATGTAAATGGAACTAGTCTTTTTTATTCCTAGATGGGCACTTCTCTCTGTCAGGGCAGGATGATGTGGGAGTAGTATGAATTTCGTCTGCCTGTGCTCTGCCTGTGATGTGGAATGGCTGTATCAACGAGTAAAGAGAACAAGTTAATGGGAAAGAGTGGATCTTTGCTTATTTTCTTTTTCTCTCTCTAATTCTTTGTTCCATTCTCCATTCCTTTTCTCCTTTGTCCTTCCTTTATCATTCACAGAAATGTAGGCTCCAGTTCAACAAAGCACTTAAGCACATGCTTAAGTCCATTTTCAGTGGAGTTTAAGCATGTATTTAATTGCTTTGCTGAACCTGGCAAAGGAGTTAATTGTACCAGATCTGTCAGCACTGTTGCTGACCTGCTGCCCTATTCCCATGCCAAATCAGCTTCATACCAGCTGGTGCTAGGGAAGTGTGTCTTCTAGAAATGCAAACTGAATGCATCTTCAGTGTTAAAAGATGCTTCCACTGGCAATAGGGGAAGTTGCTACGGTGGAGCTCCCCTTTCCTGCATGATGGAATGGGATAAACTGGGGTGGCCTTCTTCTTTGTAACATTCATTATTTTGATGGACTCCAGCAATGCCTTGGAGAACTATGAGATGCTGATGTATTAACATAGCTCTTCAAACTGATCTTTATGTTTTAAAGTGTTTTGTCAGCATCAGCACTGAGGCGTTTCACCGGTGCTGGCAGGATGAAAATATCAGCCTTTTACAAGAGCAATAATCCATTCCCTCTTAATGCTGAACTGAGGGTCACAGTCTCTGAGGACAGTGATGACCCAGCTGGGCGCTTGGTGTTGCGCAGCGGCTCTACTGCGAGCTCTCAGACTACAAAGGCCTCCACGCCCTTGCAAGACTTTTGCCTTTCCAAGCAGCACTATAGGCTCTAC